AGGTTAGTGTATACTCCATCAGCTGTTCTAGTTTCTGTTGTGTTTTTGACTGTTTGTCTCCATCTAGTGTCTGAATAATGTGCAGGTTAGTGTATACTCCATCAGCTGTTTTAGTTTCTGTTGTGTTTTTGACTGTTTGTCTCCATCTAGTGTCTGAATAATGCACAGGTTAGTGTATACTCCATCAGCAGTTTTAGTTTCTGTTGTGTTTTTGACTGTTTGTTTCCATCTAGTGTCTGAATAATGTGCAGGTTAGTGTATACTCCATCAGCTGTTTTAGTTTCTGTTGTGTTTTTGACTGTTTGTCTCCATCTAGTGTCTGAATAATGTGCAGGTTAGTGTATACTCCATCAGCTGTTTTAGTTTCTGTTGTGTTTTTGACTGTTTGTTTCTATCTAGTGTCTGAATAATGTGCAGGTTAGTGTATACTCCATCAGCTGTTTTAGTTTCTGTTGTGTTTTTGACTGTTTGTTTCCATCTAGTGTCTGAATAATGTGCAGGTTAGTGTATACTCCATCAGCTGTTTTAGTTTCTGTTGTGTTTTTGACTGTTTGTTTCCATCTAGTGTCTGAATAATGTGCAGGTTAGTGTATACTCCATCAGCTGTTTTAGTTTCTGTTGTGTTTTTGACTGTTTGTCTCCATCTTGTGTCTGAATAATGCACAGGTCAGTGTATACTCCATCAGCTGTTTTAGTTTCTGTTGTGTTTTTGACTGTTTGTTTCCATCTAGTGTCTGAATAATGTGCAGGTTAGTGTATACTCCATCAGCTGTTTTAGTGTCTGTCAGCTTTGTGTTTTTAACTGTTTGTCTCCATCTAGTGTCTGAATAATGCGCAGGTTAGTGTATACTCCATCAGCTGTTTTAGTTTCTGTTGTGTTTTTGACTGTTTGTCTCCATCTTGTGTCTGAATAATGCACAGGTTAGTGTATACTCCATCAGCTGTTTTAGTTTCTGTTGTGTTTTTGACTGTTTGTTTCCATCTAGTGTCTGAATAATGTGCAGGTTAGTGTATACTCCATCAGCTGTTTTAGTTTCTGTTGTGTTTTTGACTGTTTGTTTCCATCTAGTGTCTGAATAATGTGCAGGTTAGTGTATACTCCATCAGCTGTTTTAGTTTCTGTTGTGTTTTTGACTGTTTGTCTCCATCTAGTGTCTGAATAATGTGCAGGTTAGTGTATACTCCATCAGCTGTTTTAGTTTCTGTTGTGTTTTTGACTGTTTGTTTCCATCTAGTGTCTGAATAATGCACAGGTTAGTGTATACTCCATCAGCTGTTTTAGTTTCTGTTGTGTTTTTGACTGTTTGTCTCCATCTAGTGTCTGAATAATGTGCAGGTTAGTGTATACTCCATCAGCTGTTTTAGTTTCTGTTGTGTTTTTGACTGTTTGTCTCCATCTAGTGTCTGAATAATGCACAGGTTAGTGTATACTCCATCAGCAGTTTTAGTTTCTGTTGTGTTTTTGACTGTTTGTTTCCATCTAGTGTCTGAATAATGTGCAGGTTAGTGTATACTCCATCAGCTGTTTTAGTTTCTGTTGTGTTTTTGACTGTTTGTCTCCATCTAGTGTCTGAATAATGTGCAGGTTAGTGTATACTCCATCAGCTGTTTTAGTTTCTGTTGTGTTTTTGACTGTTTGTTTCTATCTAGTGTCTGAATAATGTGCAGGTTAGTGTATACTCCATCAGCTGTTTTAGTTTCTGTTGTGTTTTTGACTGTTTGTTTCCATCTAGTGTCTGAATAATGTGCAGGTTAGTGTATACTCCATCAGCTGTTTTAGTTTCTGTTGTGTTTTTGACTGTTTGTTTCCATCTAGTGTCTGAATAATGTGCAGGTTAGTGTATACTCCATCAGCTGTTTTAGTTTCTGTTGTGTTTTTGACTGTTTGTCTCCATCTAGTGTCTGAATAATGCGCAGGTTAGTGTATACTCCATCAGCTGTTTTAGT